TATCCAAAAACCCTGTAGCTCAAAGATCTATCCTTAGATTGGAACCTCCACCACGTATCTCTGCTGAGCTCGATAAGGGTATTGGCAAAGTCTTTGATTATAGGAAGGTGGAGATGGCTCAGACGGAGGACAGAATGGGTAAGCGACAGTCGGAAATGCCTGTGAGTCAGAGTGAGGCAGTAGAGAAAGGAAAGACCAATCCAAGCTTGGAACCAGTCAACGCAGTCAGAGTGGAGGTGGAGAATATTAACTCTATGGGTGAAGTGGGCGCAAAGCAAATGATCAATTCAGCAAGTCCGCTCGTAAGGAATAATCTCATCGAAAACAAAGAAGGATCAGATAACTTTATTCCACCCGTTATAGCTTCGGGTTTTCACGTTGGTGTTGTTGAACCTGGAACTTCATGCACGAGTGGAAATAACAGGAATTCACGGAAGCCTGCGGCATCATGGTCGAGAAAGAAACGGGTTAATAATGGCTCTATTTCAAAAGATACATCTCTGAAAGGTATGTGAAGGGGGCAAAACGAGGAAGTAGAGCAGTCTACGAAACGTAAAGCAAGTGTTTCTGATGAGGTGGTGTCGAAGTTCTCAAAGCAAGATAAAGGTTTGATGGTTTTCCAGAAACCACCCAATCCTCAATGACGACGCTCGGTTGGAACTGTCGGGGTTTGAGAAACAGGAAATCCCTGGGTTATGATCATGTTCATGTGATTGATCCAGCTGGTCTAAGTGGAGGTTTGGCTTTGTTTTGGAAGAGTTTCCACTTGGTGGATAGAGTGACTGATACGAAAATAAAGTGTGACTCGCGAGAGTTTTTTATGTCATTCATATATGGAGAACCTGTGAGACATCAACGACAAGGGGTCTGGGATTTACTGTCGTCGTTTGGTGGTAACAGGGATGATGCCTGGTTTCTGGTAGGTGATTTCAATGAAATCATGAATAATAGTGAAAAACTGGATGGTAGCTGTAGACCTGAAATCATGAATAATAGTGAAAAACTGGATGCCACCTAAAAGAAACGCCGAGCCATGGTAATTTGCTGTCCTGGGGTGGTAGGAGAGAGGTGATCAATGACTTGGGGCAGAAGGAGAAGGTGTGGATACAATGTCGGTTAGATAGAGCATTTGGTAATGCGGAATGGTTCAGGCTTTTTCCCGCGAACGCACACTGAATATTTAAAAAGGTGGCCTTCAGATCATAGACCCCTGTTAACTCGCATTTCGGGTGGTAATGAACGGAAGAAAGGCCGATTCCGATTTGATCGACGATGGTGCTCTAAACCTGGTGTGATTGATGTTGTATATAAAAAAGATGGAATTTGGGTGATCGGAATACAAAAGTCACGGAACGGATTGCAAAACTGCAGAAAGGAACTTTCAAAATGGAAGCGATCCTCAAACTCAAATTCCCGTGTCCGTCTTCAGCAGTTGCAGGAAGAGGTCGAGGTATAAAGCTCCAAGTTGTATCCTGATTTTGCTAAGCTCCAGGTCTTGCGGTCGGAGTTAACTAAAACAACCATTGAGGAAGAGCTGTATTGGAAACTGTGAAGTAAACAGAAATGGTTGAAGGTGGGGGACTGTAATTCACGTTTCTTTCATGGATGGGTCAAATCGAGACGAATGAAAAACTCCATCGTCTCTTTGATTGACAATGAAGGCTTCGAACACTTTGAGGAGGATGCTAAAGGCAATGTGGCGGTGAAGTATTTCATGAAGCTTTTCGAATTGTCGGTCACTGGGGACGGTACAGAGTTGTTACAGGGCTTTGAAGCAAAAGTAACAGATGAGATGAACCGAGAATTGATTCAACCTATCTCGGATGGAGAAATTCAAAGGGCTGTGAAAGGAATTAAAGGTGACAGTGCACCTGGAGCTGATGGGATGAGTGGAAAATTTTTCCAGCAATTCTGGGGAATCGCAGGCTCACATGTCACGTCTGAAGTCAAACGATTTTTTGAAACTGGACAGCTTCCTGAGGAGTGGAACTTTACCCAGTTATGTTTGCTTCCGAAAACACCGAACCCCAAGAGGATGACCAATCTAAGGCCCATTAGCCTATGTTCAGTTACGTATAAGATCGTTTCCAAAGTTCTATGCACGAGACTGAAGCGTTTTCTACCCAAGCTAGTTTCGCAAACACAAGGGGCTTTCGTTGCTGGTCGATTAATATCTGACAACATTCTCATTGCCCATGAGATGATCCACGGGTTGCGCACCAATCCGAACTGCAAGGAGGAATTATTGGCGATAAAAACCGATATGTCGAAGGCGTATGACCGCGTAGAATGGAATTTGTTGGAGACATTGTTTTTCAAGATGTGATTCCACTCTAAGTGGGTTGGATGGGTTATGGAATGCATTAGTTGGTGTCATGTACAGTTTTATTGAATGATGAGCGTCATGGACATTTCAAGCCGGAAAGGGGGATCCGACAAGGAGATCCTTTATCCCCTTTCATGTTCATCTTATGTGCTGAAGCCCTTGTTCATGTAATGAGCAAAGCCGAAAAGGAAGGCAGAGTGACTGGTATGAGGTTATCCAAAAGCTGCCCATCGATTCAACATCTTCTTTTTGCTGATGATAGCTTCTTCATCTGCAAGGCGAGTCTCAAAGAATGCACAGAATTTTTAAAATGCCTGCAATTATACGAAGATGCCTCAGGGCAGGAAATTTTCAGAAATCTGCAGTAACGTTTGGTGCAGCGATTGATCCGTTTCAGAGAAGATTACTTGCAGAACGGCTTGGTATTGAAAAAGAAGGTGGAGATGGCAAATACTTAGGTCTTCCAGAGTGTTTTAGGGGGTCCAAACAGGTTTGACTAACTTTCATGGGCGAGAAATTGGAGAAACGATTGCATGGTTGGTCCGCTAAAACATTTTCTTTGGGGGGGGGGGGGGGTAAGGAGATTCTTCTTAAATCGATTGCTATGGCCCTCCCAGTATACGCGATGTCTTGTTTCAGATTAACGAAGCATCACTGTCAAAAGCTCACTTCGGCTATGACCAAGTTCTGGTGGAATGCTTGCGAAAACTAGAACAAAGTTCACTGGGTAGCATGGAAATCAATGTGCAAATCAAAGGAAAAAGATGGTTTGGGATTCCGAGATGTTGAGGATTTCAATCAAGCCTTGTTAGCGAAACAAGCCTGGAAGATTCTCAATGAGCCGCAGACATTGTTATCAAGGCTATATAAAGAAAGATACTTCACCAATAAAGACTTCTTAGACTGTGGATCAGGCTACCGACCATCATATGCTTGGAGGAGCATCATGTTTGGTAAAGAACTACTGGAATGTGGGTTGATGAAGTCGATGGGAATGGCTCAAACACACAAATTTGGTTAGAGAAATGGGTCTTTGATGAGCATCTTAGGCAGCCGGTGAATAAGTGATAACACCGTATTTTGACCACTTTTATGGATCGTTTTGAAATACTTTTTATATGTTTTTAATTGCTTTTAAGTACTTTTATCACGTTTTTCTAGTATTTGTAGTTCCAAGACTCTTTTCAGGTAACTTAGGGAAAAGCTTAACAAAATGGACAGAAAACCAGATTTCAGCTCAGAGTCAAACCGTCAGAAGTTCACCCCTGATTGAAGGCCTTCTCACCGTTTGATCCAGCTCAAATTTAGAGACATTAAAGATGGAAGTATCAACTTTCCAGTGCACTTTACAGCTTGGAAATCCAACGGTTCAATCAAAAGATACGCGAAGAGCAAGATGTCTCGTAAACCAGCTGGCCAGCACTTCCACCCGCGGCCAACAAGCATTTTCCCGCGGTCAGGAGCATCCCGACCGCGGCAAACCATACATTCCCCGCGGTCAGAGCACTCCCGACCGCGGCCTTCAACCTCCAAGCCCAAAAAGCCCATTTCTGAAGCCCACATTTGGAGAAACCCTAAGTGACGTCCAGAGAGGTCTTGAGCACTATAAATACATGTCTTAGGAGCCCTAGAAATGGTGTGTAACCTTAGAGAACCGAATTATTTACTTCATACTTTCATTGCTTTAGCTTTTAGGGAGAGAGAGATTTGTTCTCTTGAACCCTTGTTCTTTCTTTTTCAATTTCGGTTTCTATTCTACTTCTTGATATTATGTCTTTAATTTCGTTCATCATGTCTGAGTAGTTTTATTGTTGGGATTAAGGGAATTTTGATGGGGATTTATATGTTCGGTGAGGATTCCATTGGCTTTTGAGCTGAATCTTAGAACTTTTTCTTCTGAATTCGTTTTTACTGCATGAGAGTAGCGTCATGAACTACAATCTGATCCAGATGCTTGGTGACACGAAAGTGTTCATCAGGTATCAGATCTAGTTTGGGAGAGCAAAACAAACATAGGAGTGGAAACCTACCTATAGGCGATTTGTGAATTAGGACGAGTCTTAAACATAATGCATCTCTTCTCTTCCAGGGCTAGAGTGGAAACCTACTGGTCAGGGTTGAGAGAGATAGTTGTCTATGATCACGACAGTGGCGTATTCATACGTCCGTGACTCCAGTTCGAAAAGTTTAAGCTAAGATCTTACAAAATTTCCTCTCTAGCAATGTTTTGAATCGTTCGTACCCCTGAGAAAACTTCCCTGAACCCCAACGCTTTCTTTCTTATTGATTTACACCGATTTTCTTTAAGCTTTAGTTCAATATTGTCTTTCCTTTTTAGTTCATTTTTATTTAAGCATTAGAATATCCGCTTTTATCATTTTTAGTTATTTTCGTTAAGTTTAGTTATTACGTCATTTAATTTCCGTATTCTCTTTTAATATTTCGTTTTTTTTACATTTTAAAGACACCACCAAACCCCCATCAAACCGTTTAGTTCTAGACTTCCTTACTTTAACTTATTTTCAAAGGCTTTTTGCAGGAAAAGATCCTCCTTCCCTGTGGATTCGATCCCTAAGTACTACAATTGATCAGTTGTGCACTTGCGGCTATTGATTTCAATTAGGGTAAAACTTGACACACCCTCAGCACACCACACATCAATAAGGAAATTTTCATGGATCTTGAGTTGAGAGTCTCGGATTTAATCTCTGAACATGGAGAATGGATGGAGAACAAAGTTCATGAATTATTTCCTCCAAATGATGCGGTCAAAATTTTGGATATGCCGATTGGAAGAGTTCCTGACAGACATATATGGGCTTACACTGATGATGGTGCTTATTCGGTTAAAAGTGGTTACTGGTTGCTCGCTAATCATCCACATCTAGCTCAACCTCCCGTGTCGCTGTTAGATAAGGAACGGATTTCGTTAAGTTTTTTTTTTGGAGAGTCTTATCGGGTGCAGTGGCTGTAGCCGATCGTTTAGTTACAAGACGGATGCCTATGGATACATTGTGCAGGTTATGCAGCCAGTCTTCGGAGTCTATTAACCATGTGCTTTTTCAATGTGAATCAGCCAGGGCTATTTGGGATCTTTCGCGGCTTAATCTCCCCTCGAATGGCTTCTCGAATTCCCTTGAGGTGAATATGTCAACCGTGCTTGATTGGTTAGATGACCAGAACATAATTTAGGAGATCAGAATAACGATTCCTTGGATACTATGGTGGATATGGAAGAACAAAAATGCCTTCCTTTTCTCAGGTAATCAGGATTCGAGTGCTAGAATCATCCAAGTGGCTAATGATGAAGCAAAAGCTTGGAAAGAGGCTAATAACTTAGTCGACACTGAAGATGCTTGCAAATGGCAACCTTCGCCGAATGGAAAGCTCAAGTGCAATCTAAATGTTCATTGGAGGAATTCGAGGTTACATTGTGGAGCTGCTTGGATCGTCCGAGACCACATGAGTTATGCTATTTTTCATGCTAGAGATGCTTTCACCAAAGCGCCCAATAGAACTATAGCGGAACTCAAAGGTGTAATTTGGGCGATCAAAAGCCTTCGTGATTTGAGATTGGAGAATGTGGTACTAGCATTAGATTGTAGAAAGGCTTTTACAGCTATAATGAATCTGGCCAAGATACCATGTGCTCACAGATCAAATTTACAGGTTGCAGCAGGGCTGGGGCATTGTAGGTTTTGAACTTGAAGCAGCACAAGCGAACCAGGCTGTACAAGCAATCACCTAAAGCATGACTAGAGATGAAAGATTACAATCGTATCTGTCCATCAGTGGTCCGGCGGTCCGGCTTGGCTGTAAGTTTTCAGACCGGAGCGTCGATGTCTCGGTTTTATTACATTTTGTAAGGGCTATCTGTAGCATCATTAGTCTTAGTTTTAGGCTTAAGTGCTATGGTTTGGGGGGTCATCTCCTTCTTTGTAAACCCCCTCTGGAGTAATTTTACCATTCTTAAATGAATTCCAGACGATTAAAAAAAAAGTTGAGAAGATGGGCCGAGCCACATGGACCCGTCCATTACTTCCTAAGAGGTTTCCTAATGACTAAGCTTACTCAAATCATCAAACTCTAATCACGGTAAGTACTCAAATCATCAAACTCTAATCAGCAAACTCTAATCAAAGTAAGTATTAAGCTTTGCTCATCAACTGCAAGAATCTGTGATTATACTCTCTTGATTCTATCACCTTCAACAATCAGAAATCCTTCACTGGCTAGCGTTCCCACCGCTTTTCTTACCTGATTAATGCGTCACAACAACAAAGACTTTTGTTAGTTTCTCTGTCCTTAATGAGCAGATCAAAAACTTTTGATATGCAAAGGTTTGTTTATAAAAAACGACTCACATCATGAAGATGAATTTCGGTGTTTATGTTGCCTCCATGCTTCTTCAGTTCTTCCAGTAACTGCACAACATTTCCCATTGTACTTAGCAAATTCTCTGAATATAACGGTTTTTTCCAATTTGCATGAAAAAAGAATGGGAAACTAAAGGAGTAAAGCATTAATACCTCGGATAAACGCATTGATGATCCTCCGATTTGCATTTTCTCAAGAGTTATGTCTCGAATTGACGACACCAAGATATCCCGTCTCATTCGTTCACTTGCTGAGACTCCAGTGTTTATCAGGTCCATGTCAATGGTCCCTTCACCAAGATAAAACATAAAACGGTGTTTAGTGTTTACCCTCATAATAATAACGTGTTATAAGTTACTGTGAAGAAGCTTACCAGTGGCGTGATCTGTTGCTGATTGCTGCATTGCAACTCTGAGAAGTCGAAATGCTTCGTCCACGTCATGTTTTTCAACCTTTATCCATCACAAGAACCATTTTTAGTTTGGTGTGAAATGCAAAAAAAAAAAAAGAAAGATAATTGCATATCAAACATATGAATGATTCACTAACCCATTCGGAGAAGCGCATCCGAGCCAAGGCCTCACTAAGTCTGATCAAACTCTCGATTTGCCTAGGAGTTGCTGTTATCACCTGTGCCAAATTAAAGAAAATCTAAAGCATGAGACCAACCATATATCATTTTTATGAGCCTCTGTTCCGAAACATATAAGTTCGAAAAGCACACCTTTTTACTACTACCGGCAAACTTCCCTGCTTTTCTCAGCTCAACATATCCTCGGGTCAACTCCTCTGCAGCTTCATCTGATAGTTTAGGATGAATGTTCTTGCGGGCATAGCTAACATAAGTTGTCAGTGTAGTAATATCCAAAGATTCCTCCTGCACACTCTGCGGGATTGAGATGAAACGACATCAGTCAATGTAAGAACAAGGCGAAACACAATCATCTATCAAGTTATCAGACGCTGAGGAAAAATATAAGACCTCTGCGTTTTCAAAGTGTAGGGCCACAATATGCTTAGCTAGCCGTCGATCGGTCTGCTCATCAGGCTTGTCAAGAATCAAGTAGATCAAATCGAATCTAAGAATTAAAGTGCGATAAAATTAGTACACCACTAGATATCTTCTTTTGCAGAAGAGGAAATCTTTTAATGTCAGTTTCGGATAAAGATTGGAGCATACCTAGAAAGCAAGGTAGGAGGAAGGTGAATGTTCTCAATAACAGAAAGCCGGGGATTATAGCGTGATCCACTAGGATTTGCACAAGCCAATACAGAGGTTCTAGCATTTAGAGATGCAATAATACCAGCCTTTGCTATTGAAACAGTCTGCTGTTCCATAACCTGTCAGAGCAACAATGTTCATCAGCAATGCAATCTTATGGACCAGAGGCCGCAATTAAGAGGGACACCTAGAAAATGGCAATGTTAAGAAGGAGAGAGTAACAAACCTCATGCAGCATGCTCCTCGCACTGTCAGACATTTTGTCAAATTCATCAATACAGCAGATACCTCGGTCACTAAGAACAAGAGCTCCACTCTCCAAAACCTAAACGATGTTCCGTTCACGTTAACAGGTCAGGCTTGAGAAGACCGTGAAAATACAATGAGTACAAAAAGATTGAATACAAAATTAATGAACATACAGTTTCTCCTGTCTCGGGGTCTTTAGCTACGTAAGCTGTTAAACCAACAGCTGAGCTCCCTCGCCCACTTGTGTAAATTCCACGCGGTGAAAGCTTGTGAATGTACTGAAGCAGCTGGGACTTGCTTGTACCAGGGTCACCAACAAGTAAGATGTTGATGTCGCCACGAAAATTAGCACCAGATGCCAAGTTCAAAGCATTCCCTCCAAAAAGCTTCACATTTGAAATTTGTCTCAGTAAAAGGAACTAATGTCGTTTAGATTTTGTTGAAACCATAAGCAAGTATCATAAGCGTTACAGCACCTGGCACAGAAGACCCTTTTTGACGTCATCCAACTCCCAGATGTTTGGTGCCAGCGATCTACTAAGCTTCTCATATATATCTGGTTGTTTAGCGAGTTCCTGAAACTTCCTCAACTGCAAATTAACACGAAACTTGGTTGGAATGAAGGAATAAGTTACAAATTTATAATTCTATGTAGTTAAAAAGATGAAGAACCTTCTCCTCATCTAACTCAACATCTTCATCGACTCTACGCAGACTATTGTCAGCATCCATTGGATCCTCAGCAGCCATTCTTGTCTTACTTGCTTTCTTTATGTGAAGGCAATCGATGTAGGTCTGTACACAACATTAATAAGAGAAAATAATTGAAAATGTCAGAACTGAATAAGAATAACGAGGAGCTACTAACAGAAGAAAAGATAGGATGACATGCCTTAAACACAGATTTCACAGTCCTTTGAGCAGGTCCCACTCGGACGGTCATCGCTCTGTAAATTCCAGTGACCTATCAAGAAAATAAGCTTTGATTATCAACCAAAACCATAGTAACGCTTGTACTACCCTGATTAAATCACTGCTTTTACCTCAATCCTGTCACCAGGCTTTCCATTATCAACTAGCTTATCATGAAGCAACAAGCTAACTGTGTGAGGTGTTCCTCCTTCAGGAATCTCATCAGGCGTTTCCTGAAGTCTCACAATCTGCTTATCGGCAAACCTGATTCACGAATGAAAGGGAATGAATTACAGGATTTAAACAGGATCAGACGAACCCATGTCTAGAACTCACTCACCTGCATCGGTTGTGTACTAGTGTCATAGAGTTCTTGGCAAGGCATTCTTGTTTCAAGCAAGTAGGAGGCTCGCTTATTTTCCCTAACAATGAAACAAACATTAGTATAAACTATACGCACATATATACAAAATTGATCAATCCAAGTGATCAAATTACCTCTATCGACTATGATGGGGTCAGAGAAGTAACCACAAACGAGGCATCTAAACACAGCTTCCCTGATTTCAGGAATGATTGAGCTACTCCGAATTATCATTCCTTTTAAAGAGATCATCTTCTCGATGTCTGACCAATAAAAACACAAGCTAAGCTAAGCCACTAGAGAACTAAGAAACTGGGAAAAAATGAACTATGAAGACAATACTAACCAGATGGATTGAGATTTCTCATGGAAGTGGAAGTCCTGAGGTTGAAAATCCTCACTTGAACATGCTTCTCGAACAAACAATTGATCGAGGAAACAATATCCATCAGCACAATATCAAAGATAGCGAGAACTTCCAAAGGATACCGAACCATCTTGTTGTACAAATCAGGATCATAATCGAACACATCATACGCATCAACATCAATCCATTCTCCTTCGATTTCAATCACCTTCCGTATCGAAGCCATATACTTGCCTTCTCTAAACAAATCTTCACTATTCTCTTTAGCTTCTCTGAAATGCTTAACGAACATCTCAATCGCCGATTTGACATCTTGCACACTGATGTTGGTTCCCCAGACGAAAGTCGGAGTGGTGTCCTCGGCTCCGTCGTCTTCACCATCTTCGGAAGAAGGCGGTGCTTCGTCAGTATACGATGGGGTCGCTGGGCCGCCGCGTTCATTTCTGCCGTTAGATCTGGCGGCGGAAGGACGAGATGTAGGAGGAGTTGAGTTTGAGGCTCCGAGACGTGATGGCGGCGGTGGAGTTGCGAATTGAGTAGGCGTAGAGGATCTTCCTCGCCGGCGACTGCGGAGGGCGGCGGGGGAAGAGTATGTGTTACCGATAGGGCTTGAAGCGTTCTCTTCGGGAGAGGAAGGACCTGCGAGTAGTGAGACAAATCAAAATCACGAAACGATTTTCATACTGAGAGAGAGAGTAGGTAAGAAAGAGAGATAGAGAGAGAGAGTACCGTCGTTAGTGTTGCCGGGAGGAGAATCGGAAGCCATGGCTGATCGGAGAGTTGAGAGAGAAGAGTGAGAGATTTCGGCGCTTTTTAGTGAGTAGATAGAGTTGATTTGGGCGGGACTTCACTTGATTTTGGCGCCATTATTTGTTTGGGCTTTCAAATGGGTCTATAATTTGGGTCTATTATAAATTATGACCCGAAGGCATATTGCTCCCAGATATACCTGGCCAATTATTCAGTTCGGGTCTTGGTTCGTTCGGTTACTCGGTATTTTGGTTTAGCTAAAAGCGCCGATAGAAGCGAATAAAGTTTGGTTGGAATTGATTTGGAGTGGTAAAATTCAAATTGGTTATGTCGTTGCCGAAATGAACCGAGTTAGGGATCATGTTGCACAATTGAACCGAACTTTGGCCTTTAACAAAAAATTCGAGTTTTTGATACATTCTTGTTAAATTCGGTACATTTTGTTTATTTCTTAATTTCGATAATTTTTGCCTAGTACAATCCTTCGATTATTTTGATTGAAACCGGTTTGCAGAAATAGAATAATGAAATCGAACGGTACCAAACTTTATAAATTCTGGTTCGGTTTAAATTCGGTTCCCACCGAATGCCTATTCCTAATCCCAATGCATGCAATGCAGTATTACTAATCCACATTCTTAGCAACACAAAAATGAATGATTCATTATTAAATCATATGATTTTGACTAAATCTTAATGAGTAGAAGTTGGAATAGTACTATCCAAACAAACGCTTTACTCAATCTTGAATTCAATCAAAAGCTAAAACATAACAAGCCTAACTGTTCTTCATTGATTCTTGACACAAAAGTAACGATCGATTCACCAAAATTGCAGTAAGCAAACGCAACTCAAACCAATCGATCGAAAAACCCAAAATCCAAACTACGATTTACACAGAGACAGAGATGAATCCAAGTAACTAAAGAAAATGATCTAAAAAGCGTGTGTACCAGCTGAGAAAATCCGAAAGAAAAATGTTTCCCAGAGAAAATCGAAGAACATCATCGATTCATCAGCACCTGAACCTGATGCCGAGACCATGCTTGCCATAGACGCAACCAGGCTTCAATTGCGAGTCCAGAGACTTCTTAAAGATCTTATCGAACGCTCTCTTCCCAATCTTCTTCATCCTCTCTATCTTCATCTTCTTGCTCACGCTCCATGGTACAAGCTCATCATCAAGATTACAGTAATGGTCTTCATCAACGTCATCGACATCGAGATCCTCGGCCCGTTTGCGATTCACGTAATCATCTCTACAAAGAATGACCATCCTCCGGCGAAACGAACCAACATCGCCGTCGTAATCACCAAAGATAGCCTCCGGGAACGTCTGCCGCGGCGGAGCAGCCGAGAAATTGAAGGAGGAAGAATCTTCCGATGAATTGGATTGATTCGCCATGTTTGCTCTGGTTCGTGTGATTTTTGTTGTTTGATGGATTCAAGACGCTTTGTTTCTTCACCAAGAAGTTAACGGCTTTTTATACTAAGAGACGAAGCGGTTTATGTGTTTGTTACAACTTTTTTTTTGACTGAGCAGTAAAACATAAAAATATCACTCTAACAATAAAAATTACGTAGAAGAAAGATTAATGGCTTGTTGGAGTAGCTTTCTTTTTGCTTTTGCTCAGTTTCTTCTATCGATTATTGATTATGAATAAAAAAAATAAGAAGGCTCATTGTGTTTTAGTTTTACCACATGGGTACTGTTTAACGATGTTCAGTCGAATCTTGGTTTTTAAACGTTAAAGTTAACTTGGTGTAGTTAGTGTTATATAATGTATAGTTTATAGTGTTAGGTATACAAGAATGTAGTTTGTATAAGCTTGTCATCAAACATAGTTGGTGTAGTTGAAACTGTAAACCAATAACATAAGTGAGCGAAACAGCGATTCTCAAAACAAGTTTTGGGAATGTAAACCGTAATAATCTTCAAATCATCACTATGAATTACTTATAATTGATTTATCAACAACTTTGAGAGAAAGAAATGCAATATATTTTCATTATGAAAATTTCAATTTTTAAGACCCATAGAAAACTCCAGTTTTCATGCCATTATTTTCCCTCAAACCTAGACAAAACCATCAAATTATGTTTTGAATAAGAGCAAATCATGTAGCATGGTTTTTTTTTTTGGATAACTCAGGGAATGATGGAAGAGGCGCAACCCATGGATATATATTTTTTTCTGTGTATTTAAATGCGTCATAAGCAAAAGCCTATATTTATGTAGGTATTCAAAAATAATGTGATGGAATTTTACATAGCAAGTGGATGGAAATTAAAACTTGTTAGCGTATCAAAGCATAATTCTCTTGAATATCTTTGGAACTTTTTTTTTTTTTTTTTTTTGCGTAGAGGTAGAGTTAAACCAACATCATTTTGACTTGGGTTAAACGATACAATTTATCGTTCATTAGTCTTTAAACGGAGTTTTACGTTTAGGTTTAATTTGAAATTTTGAACATGTAAATTGAAATATTGAGTATCAATACAAGACAAGATTCCTTAGGTCTTATTTAGGTGAAACAAAGATCATGGGGCTTTGTTTGCATTTTCCTTAGTTCTCTGCATATATATTCTAATCAGCTTCAAAATTAATTTAGAAAAGGCTCATAACTCGCATCCTCCTTTTACGAATCCCCCAATATGCATTATTTTCCAGGATTTCCAACAATTTCCAACAATCTCGCCAGATGCTTCATCAATCACATTCGGTTGGCCAGCTTGTGCCATAAATGATCCTGAGAAAGAATCAGGCATTAATTATGTCAATATCATGGAACACCACCACAAATTAGTCCTTCTTATCTCACCAAGCTAGTCTAAGTTAAAAGGTGCAAGAATGAGGAAATGATGCTCATGAATAGGGAATGAGGAAAAAGTTGGAAATATATATATATATATATATATATATATATATTTTTAATCTGTAAGTGACATAAATTTTTTTAACTAACTAGCAGTTTTATCTAAGAAGACATAAAGTTAAACTTAATGAGTTTTTGGCTTATTCACATCATACTGAATTCAAGGCATATGCTCCCAACACTATAAGAAAAATATCATTTTACAACGGTCGAAATGATCGTTATTTCGTCGTAATAGGGCTATTACGACGGACTACCGACGATTTAAAAATCGTCGTAAAGTCATCGTCGTAAAATCGTCGTATATTATACGACGGTTTCGTTTCGTCGTAACATCGAGGGAAACAAAATCGTCGTAAATGCGTCGTACAGTTTACGACGATTTTACATCGAATTGCGTCGACTTGGTCTTCGCCTAGACTGTCGTTAAGTGGTCGTTAATGGTCGACGTAAGATCGTCGTAAAATGTACGACGCATAAATCGTCGTAAATCAATCGTAAAGTATTTAATCATTTCGTCGTAAAATCGTCGTAAAGCACGGACGTATAATCGTCGTATTTGTCGTTGTACATTTTAGTCGTAAATTCATCGTAATATTTACGACGAATGTACGACGGTTTTAATAAAGCTATTACGACGATTATACGACGTTTAATATAATTGAAAATTAAAAAAAGAAAATCGAATTAAAATTTAAATTAAAAAAAAATAATTTACAATTTAAAATTTATTAAAATTTGAAATTAAAATTAATTGTAATTTACATAAAAACCCTACAGCTCTAAATCTAAACCTAAATCTAAATCGTCGATCCCGTCACCGGTCTCCTCCCCATCGTCCTGGACGTGTTCCTTGCCGGGTCTTCGGTTTGATGCTTCCGCCGGCGCCTGATCTCCGGTTCTAGGAGGCTCAACCCCGAGAGATCGGAACATCTCCTCGTCCGTCTGCATCGGCGGTTGCGTCCTAGTGAATGACCCGGCGGCAGACGAACCGACAACCCCATCAGTCCGCAGCTTGTCCAACTGCGCCATGAGCACCGGGTTGTCGGCTCCCATGATCTCGAAGAGACCGTAGAGCTGTTCGATCCTCGTCTCGTAACGGGTCCGCATCTGATCGATCTCCTGGCGGATAACCGGATCCGGGACCCGGACGTGACCAGACGCCGTAGCTCTCGGAGTATCACGGATGGACCCCATCCCTAATACCCGCCCATTTTTCTTTGGGGCAACCTACAAATATTTAAAAACATTATGGTTAGAAATTTAATTTAAAACTAAAATTACATTAATTAATTAAATATAGCAATTAAATTTACCTCTTCGAAGATCTGGTCCATCTCCGCCACCGTCAGCGTCGGGGTCGATTGGACCGAGCTACCTCTGGGAGACGTTTGTCGCTCCTCGATCGCCGCACAGGTGGCGTTGTAGATCTCCTCCGCCCGAGGATCCGTGAATTCGCCGTTCCGCTTCTTATGCGTCTCGGCGAAAACCTTTGTCATCGGAGGAAGTTCTCCTCTGTTATCTTCGACCTACAAAATCAAAATGAAAAATTAATTAGTATCGAGAAATAAGAGTTAATTATTTGAAAACAAAAAAATTAATAATTTTAATTTACTTACCATTATAAGCCGTCTTCCGGCAAAAGGAATCTGGCTGGAAGTGTGCGGGACGTTCTTCTGATTTCCCGCATCGTCAGTAGCGTTCCTGAAAAATATTTTCATTAGAATCTATTATAAGAAAAAAAATAATGTAAATATTATTGGAATTAACTACTTACCTAGATCCGGAACACTTGGCGGCCGTAGTCTGATTGTGCGGATCCAACCAGTACTGGACAAGGCCCGCCAGACGGTATTTGGCCATAGGCGCCGGCTTGGCCTTGTCGCCGTCAACCTCCCACTTCCGTTTCCAGTCGGAAACGGTGTTGTTGAGGCGGAATTTGACCTTCTCCTTGAAGGCCGTCTCCACACGTCCGTGTGCGGATGTTTCCCAATGCCAGTTTTGCTAGGAAAAAAAAGAAGTTAGTAATTATTGTAAAAAGTTTTAAAATTAAAATTAAACGAAATGGTAAATTACTTACCGCAAAACACTTGAACCAAGTGTCAAGTGTGGCCTGATCCAGTTTCTTCCAGCTAGTATGGAGTTGTACGAAAAACCCCTTGATGATATCCGCAATGTTACGACCGACTGCATTGTCGGTCGTAAACCTAGTCAAATGGAAAGAGAAAAAGTAAATTAATATCAGATATATAAGAATAAATATTAATTAATTTAAAAATATTGTAGGAAAAAAATTACATACCAAATATCTATTTAAATTTACCAAAATCCGGGCCTAACTAAATTCCGAAACCTAAATCTAAATTCCGAACCTAAATCTAAATTCCGAACCTAAATCTAAAATAATATGTAATGAAATTAATTTTTAAAAATACTTACAAATTAATTGGCTGGAGAGTAGGGAGAGAAGGGAGAGGTAGATTTCTAGAGAGATAGAGAGATTTCTAGAGAGAGAAAGGGAAGAGAGGAATGAGCGACGAAAGGGGGAAAACTCGCGTCCCTTATATAGATTTTGTGATCGTCGTAAAATCGTCGTAACTTTACGACGGTTTTACGACGATTCGGTTGTATAACAGTCGGTCCACTGCATGACATGACACGTGTCGTGATGGGAGCATTTGACCGTTATGACGGTTTTACGACGATTAAACCCAAAACCATCGTAAAATCGTCGTAACGTCTAAACATTTATAACCTCGTACCTCGGATCAAGAGCCTATCCGG